CTTCTAAAACTTAGAAGAAAGAGAAAAAGAAGAATGGAACATGCTTTCTTGACAATTTCAGGCCTTATGTTTTTCTTCAATTTCCCTCAAACACACTTTCTAGACTAAAATGCTGTGAATAAATAATACTTGGACTTCATTTAGTCCAAGCTGTGAATCTCTTTTAAAGAGAAGAAAATTGAATCCAAATTACTTTTCATAAAGATGGTCTTCAAAAATACACTTATAATTCAAATACATACACATGTGAAAATTATTATATTCAGAAAATAGTAATTTAAGGCATATATATGTTCATTATCTATTTATTGTATTTATTGCCTCTTAGCTGCAGAACTTTGCTCTGGTGTCCAGGCTGAAGGGCAGTGGTGTGATCATAGCTCACTGAGGACTCAATCTCCTGAGCTCAATCGATCTCCCACCTCAGCCTCCTGAGTAACTGGGACTACAGGCACACGGAACCACATCTGGCTAATTTTTGGATTTTTTATAGAGTAAGGGTCCCATTATGTTGTCCAGACTGGTTTCAAAGTTCTAGGCTCAAGCAATTCTCCCACTTTGACCTCCCAAATTGCTGGGATTATAGGCATGAGCCATTGAACCTGGCTCATAAATATTTTTGAATGAAGAAATTACAGGATTAGCTTCATATAGGCTAGATCTGTGGAAGCTTGCATCTTCTGATTGTTATTTGAAAACTTCATCTGAAATGACACATTTAACATATTGATGGATTATATTTTTAATGCTTACAAATGCCAGGATTTTGCAAAGCTCTGAGAAGCTATGATAGATGTTGAATGTCTAGTAAACAGGCAGTCTTCTACCCTGCTTCTTTGTTGGTAAAGCTTTCCTCTTACTATGAAGCAAGAAAATGTCAGATACTCCTAAATTTGATGCATCTAAAGGATGACCACATTCACTCATCCATCCATCCATCCAACGATCTTTTATATATATATATATATATATATATATATATATATATAATACCATGTGGCAGGGAATTTTATATAATATATATATATAAATATATATATTATATATATATATAAATATATATACATACACACACACATATATATATATATAAAAGACCATGTGGCAGGGAATTGTTCCAGGTACCTAGAATGCTTAATTAAATTCCCTGCCTTTCTGGAGCATACATTCTAGCAGAGGAGAAGAATCAATAAACACAAAATATTAGTACAATATTGTTATTGACAATGGAATTTAAAAGAAAGTCTGTTTAGGGCTTTTAAGACAGATTTTCCTCTCTGATATAAGCCAAGCCTTTCAAAATTTCATCTTCATGTTGATTAAATTCCATCATAGAGCATTTTACTTTATAATATTTGACAACCTTACTCTAATATCAATAACAATTTATCAGTCTAAATCTCATACATACAGTTTGGAAAGAAGTCCATGAATGTTAAAGAAAATGTTTCTCTTTGTTTTTGTAGAAAACGATACCCATTGAAAAATAGTGATATGAATACATTATATGAGTAGCAACAAAGGTTCATATATTCATTTATTCACTTAATATAAGTGCCTGATATGTGTTAAGCACATATAATTCATCTTTATATTTTCTTTATGGCTTGTAGAAGTGATTTGCACATTGTAGGCAGGTAACAGCTTACTATTATGATATGTGGCTTATGTAATAATACACAAATATATGCAATTGATAATTCTTGAGTTCACACAGTGCGGTATTATGCATGTTACACACACACACACACACACACACACACACACACAGACACACACACACACACATATATATTTCCAGCTATGCACAAATTAGATATTCATATACATGTGCACATATGAATATATGTACACAGATAAACATAAATATACAACATGCTACCTTCTTGATTTGCAAGTTTAAAATTTTATTATTGAAATGTGCTTATTCTACTTGAAATAAATCTCAATATCTATCCTTGGAATCTACTTTTGCTTTAGCTGCTATCCTTAGTCCCTCAACCTGTAAACAGTATTAGGCATGGACTCCTAGCAATCTATTTCATTTTGAAGTTTTTATCGCCAAAATCAATATATTTTCATAAGAGCTGTAAAATTACTCTTTCAATATATTAGAGAAAGTATATAATGTTAGAAAAGATTCAGAATGCCTTTTTAAAACAAGTATTAGTTTCTAAAACACTTATTTTTCAAAATCTTCATTTGTTATTATTAGCAGGAAAGTTCAAGTCTTCTACTTTACTTTCAAACTTACTTAAAACTAGGCTTCCTCTTTAATCCAACCTTATTTCACATTACTTCAGTATATGGAACCTCTGGTCCAGACAGACTCTTCTATGTTCCACAAAGATACGTTCATATTTTACTCTTTACCTTTCTTTAAATAGTTTCCTTCTACCTCTTTCCTTACTTAAATCCCAATTGTCATTCTAGGCACAAATCACGTATAGTGCCTTTAAGATGTCTTTCTAAGTCAATTTGCCCACTATAATTCTTCTCTTTTGAAGAATGCTTTCTGCCATATTCAGAAAATTCAATACCATTATTAAAAGGGCTAATTTTTCATAAGTTTAGCTATAACCAAAGAAGAACTTGACTAGGGTCTGGTTACTCACTATTACAGAGGTATTGTGGTTTTCAAACCCCAACTACTATGAAAATGGAATATATCCTGGAAAGTACAGAGTCAATCAGAAGGAGGCACCTGGAAACTACTCATGGGTATGCAGGGAGCAGTGAACATTCAATAAATGACTTTTGGATAATTTAACAATTAAAAACTATATTAATTTTTGTTTACTATTTTACTAACTAAGCTATATGTTTTAATCCATAGAAGAATAAATGATGATATATCCCTGGATTTGGAACCAAAAAAAGATGAATTCCAGTTGCTGCTCTTCCTTCCAGTTTTTTTTGTGTAAAAAGCAAATTAGTTAAAATCCTGAGTTTCATGTATGTTAGTTGCCAAAGAAAACTAATTATTATGCATGAGAAAAGATAATGTATAAAGCTATAAGTTGCTCTACCAATAAAATTATTATATATTGCAATGCATGCTTTAAGCATTAAATAAGGAAATAAATTGAATCAAACAAATCATTTAGTAAAATCAAATATTTTGCCCAAATATTATATAAATGAGTAAATGTCTTGCTATGTTCATTTTATAAACAGCAATTTTTGAATGAGAATGTAATCTCTTACATTACTTTGTAAACCATATGACAGATTAGAAATCTAGATAGCAGAAGACTGTTTTGGCCCTTTTACAAGGAAATAGTAAAGACTAACAGAAAAGAGACAGAAAATTTAGGAAGTTCTCTAAGAAAAGACAGTATTTCCTGAGATGGCTAGCATGTTAAAAGTATACTCCTGGTCTGATTATATTTGACACACAGAAAAGGGAGACAGTTCTACTGTGGGGTTGTTTTATGATGATGAACAGAATCTCAAAACCTACAACAACAAACAATGAAGACAACAGGTACTATTCTTCAGGACCTTATAGTATCCAAGGCAATATATCACATGCTTTATGTATTTTATTCACTTTTTTCTCACTAAAACTATGATGTAAACATTACTGTTCCTATTTTATAGAGAGTAAACTTAATGTTAGAGGTTAAACAATTTACCCAAGATCACAAAACTCATATGTGATGGTGGAACTGGGATTTTAAATCTGAACTTATCTGATTCCAAAGAATGCATGCTATAAAATTATAACAACACTAAAAGAGAAATATCTAGAAAAGTTCAAAGGCTCAAAAAGAGTTTTACAGCTGTAGTCAACAAAGTGCATTCTGGATTTGACTTGCAAAGCTAAAAGAAATATTTTATTAATAGCTGTATAAGGTGATAAGTTTTGAGAGCAAGAGGAAGCTAAAAGAAAAAGAGCTTTCGAGATACCAAAGCTGTAACTGGTTGACCCAGGGCCGTGGAGGCCTAAGGCCCAAGGACTTTGATTTCTATAGAATGATAGACTAAGCCAAATATTTCAGTTAAGCAACTAAGAGTAGGTTTCTTGTAAGCTGAAACAATTAGACCATGTGCCTAGATACTTGAGACTTCCATACCTTAGCCCAATAGATGCTTCTTTTATAATTATGCATAGGTGGTAATTACAAAGAATGCTTACTAAACACTTATTTTGTACCAGTTAGTGTTCTAACTGGCATCCATTTCATCCCAACAACAACTCTGTAAGTTAGGTACTTCTATTATCACTCCTATTTTAAAGATTAAGTCCTCATTTAAATCCAGCCAAAGTGATGTCAGAGGCCATACTCTTTATCATTATATAACACTGATGTTATAGTTAACTAGTAACTACAGTGATTAAACAAGTATATCTTATTCATAATCATTCTGTTAATTAAAATTCCATTTTCTAAAGTAGTTTGCCTTAAATTGTCACTTACTAAGCACATTCAGAGATTAGTAGTGTTTGCAAAAATATTATTTGTTGACAAATAGTTGGAATTACAATGAGAATTGCATTATTTCGGCTTCTTAGAGAATATGTTAAAAGTGAACTCTGGACTCTAAAATCTATAATTCAATATCATGGATGTGAATGATGAAACTTGCATATTTGAAAACAGTTGCTGATTCATTGAATTATTAATGTTTTAACATTGAGGTAACATATTAAACAGAAGTTTTGAAATTCTAATGTGACAAGGCAATATTTTTTTGTTTTTGTGTTTGTTCTTAATTGGTTTATTTTTTACCTACCATGCTCCAAAGTGATATCATATGAGTTTGTAATATGCAGTACAAAAAAATTAGCATTATTCATTAATATGTACTGATACAGGTTGATTAATTCTGAAAAGGAATACAGATTTTAAAATTTGATAAAGTTAGTGTATTATGTTAATAACTAAAATATTTATATTACGTGAATAATTTAAACTTAAAATATTTATTTCTTAACTATATTGACTAGGGCAACATTTCAATGAGCAGATTCTATAATCATATAAGAAAAATTCAGCTTTATGCCGTGGCAGTATGGTAGCCAATGAGGTTTATCCGACGTGCGATTATTGCTAATTGAAAATTTTTCCCAATATCCCACCATGACTACTTGAAATATAGTCGGCATTGGCAATTTTTGGCAGTCTCTACAGAGACTGAATCATAAAAAAAGAAAAAAAAGAAAAGAAAAATTCAAGATCTCTAAGGTCTTTGAAATTTGGAAAATATTTAAAAATTAGACATTAAAATTATTATTTCAAAAGTAAATTAAAATTTATTAAAATGAACTTGCATGTCTGAATAAATACAAATAATTATAATCTAATTAAGCCAAGTACTTGGATGAAAAGTGAAAGTCAGAGAATCATTTTGAAGTTTTCATTTATCTGGAGTGTACACCATCTGGATCACTGAATTTTTCACTTTCAATCAAATATTGATTTTATATACGTGGTGTGTGTGTGTGTGTGTGTGTGTGTAATACCAATGAGTAATAAAACTTTTTCAAAAATAACAATAATTATAATTAAATATAAATATGTGTGAACTTTTGAGTTTCACTATACATTGGGGAAATTAACAAAATGTAATGTGAAGCAAAACATCTTTTATACTAATGTGGTTAAATAAGGGTTAAATAAGGACTTTGAAAGATATTACTCTCTAGTCTCCTGAAATACCACAAGATATAGACAATTTTTAAATGTTTACATTTTTTCAGTTAATAATTGCAATATAATTTTTGTTGAAACCATTATTTCTATATTCTCTCTAAATAGGTTATATACATATATTTAATAGACATATATTTCACACCAAATTAAAGGTAATAGTTGTGTGTGACAGGTTTATGAATATATAGTCATTATTAATAGACATAGTCAAATTCTCACATATCCAATGGAAATAGTTTTTGAAAGCATGTTTTTGACAATATAATATTATCTAAACCTCTTCTATTTACAAATATTTCCTTTGAAAATTAACTTTACATACAGTATCTATTAAATCAATGGCAAAAGGCCAAAATATACTACTTTCATATATAAATCTAACATTTTATAATTAGCCTAAAAATTCTTTTAGAATTAAATTATTAATGAATTCAATATGATTCATAGGGTATGGGGGGCAGGAGATATTGATTCATAGAATACAATTAAAATAAAAACTGATGCAGTTAATTTTAGAAATAATTTAATTTTGTTTATATCAAAAGAGGACATGTAAAGAAAGAAAAAATTTAAATACACATTTTTGGGCAGTTCAAGTTGCTGGCATCCCACCCCCTATCTGTAAAAGAATGCTTGTTGGCATTAGGTTCCATCAATTCATTTGTGATTTCTAAATTAATTCTGAAGGAAACCACAACTTACTTGAAGATCCTGCTGAGTGTCTGTGTGCCTGATTTTTTTTTTCTCTCTTCACAGACAAAGCATTTCTACTGGTCATGGAAAAAAGGTCTAAATCCGTGTCTTCTCTGCTTACAAGTCTTGCCTGGGAGCAATGGAAGAGAATGTATACAATCATGAAACAAAATATGGCATTTTCTGAATGCAGCTCACATTACCCCAAATAAACAAACAGGCTCTGTCAAACAACCTTCTTCAAAATGATACCACAATCCTTTATTGCTGCCCAGGCAGAACAAATGCACTATGTCAAAGCATTTTTTGCAAATAAGAGTCGATTATAAAATTGAGGATTGCTATTTGAGTCTGTACAACAAAAGAAAACATTTTAGTACAGTAATTTTGATGAAAATCAATCTCAAAGGTAGCTGATGAAACTTTAAAGAGCTTAACATTATTTATTTGCCAAGTATATTATTTAATTCTTAGCTGAATGTTAGACATGTCATATCCGGTTATTTTTTGCAATATTTATATATTACCACTTATATGTATTAGTCTTATCAATAAAATTCTCTGAAATGCCTTTCATCCCATACTTGCATACTATAAAGCTACAGACAATCTTTATCTTCTCATTACAACCATTATCAATATTAAATATTATGTTTAAGTCTAATTTGGGAATAATTATAAATATATAGATATTTCAGGGCATTATTTAATGAACATAAAAATTAAATTATCCCAAATTGCCTTTGAACTTTTATTACTTAGACTGAATCTAAGAGTCAAAATTAATTGCTTCTTACCTATAAAACATTGTTGTACATAATGTTGAATATCATTACATAAAGATATATTAGGATTCAGTTCTGAAATGGGGGGAAATGCCATGAGGGGAAGCAAAGCAGCCTCAAAGTAGCTGGGATTTAACCAAAACCACACTATGCTTGAAATCCTGTGAAAAAGCATTGTTCTTAATGTTTGATGTTAAGAAAACTTAAACATAGCAAAATACAAGCATAAAACCACCACTATGGTTAAAAAGCTGTCACCATATGATGAGCTACAAAGACTTAAGGAACTAGAATCCAAAAATTATCCTCTTTAAAATTGAGATATTTGCCCTTCACCCTTTCATCCCCTCCCACCTTCTTTCTACTCTTAAACATATGAACTTCCATTTATTTAATATACTTATATTTTTCCAAATCTATTTATATTTTCCCCGATTTGGTCTTAATTGACAAGCAAAAATTGTATATAGGTATCATGTAAAACATGATGTTTTAAAATATAATACACAGTGGAATGGCTAAAGTGAGCTAATTAACATATGTCATGCCTCACATACTATTTTTAAGTAAGCAAGTATTACTCTTGCTGAGTTCAGAATATAACTTATTCTATAATGTCAATCATTTTTTAAATGTAACTGGCTAAGTGATATAATTACATTGTCAAAAACTTTGGTAGAAAACTTTAAAGTAAAATAAATAAAAATTGGCTTCGAATTTACACTTGTGATTTGTATGAGTTATACATTATTTTTGAAATGTATTTCAATAGTATGTAAGAATACAAGTCTAATATTAGAATAGCTCATTAGAATAGCTCAATCAATGGTAAATCTTAAAAATAACCAGTCAAAAATTAAGGGGAAATATCAAAGCAATACCACAATTTTGGTGAGACTACTTAGATAACAAGAAAAAAAAAATGTGAACCCAATAAGCGATCCTCCTGCAGACTAAAGAGGCTTTATGACTATAAGCCTTAATATTTTAAAATGAGGTTGATTTATTTAAATGTAATGACATAATTTCACTACACCTATTAAGAAAGTAGAATTCCCACTATCCCTGAAATAAGACAAAACCTACAGTCAAGGAAACATTTGTAAATAAACACCTTCCAAAATTTTATTATCATCTAAGTCATTAACATCCAAAGATGATTTCTTCCAAAGTAGAAAATAACTAGTGTCAGTTACTAATTTGGTCATATTACATAGGAAATCAACTTTAGAAGTAAAATTATCAGAAACACATGGCTTCAAAATGATGCCATTTAGCAGCTTAAAAGCAAACCTAAAAATTTCATAAATGGGCTAGTTAGATGTCTTTCAGTGAACCTGGCACAGCCCATATGCAGTAATATTTAGATATTATTTTTGAAAACATTGACTTCCCAACTAAACACCACTCTCTGCTTACTATTTAAAAAAAAAAACAGAGAAATTGTAAAGAATATATGGATTTTTTCAATATAATATAAAATGTATTTATAGTTGTCCCTCAGTATTTGTGGGGATTCATTCTGGGATTTCCACATATAACAAAATCCATGGATGCTCAAGTCCCTTATTTAAAATGGAGAATTATTTGCATATAACCTATGCATATCCTCACTTATACTTGGGATAATCTCTGATTACTTCTAATACCTAACTAGGTGTAAATGCTATATAGTTTTTATGCTGTATTGCTTTTTTATTTGCATCATTTTTATTGTTGTATTGTTATTTTTTGTTTGTTGAATATTTTCAATCCACAGTTGGTTGAATCTGTGAATGTAGAACCCATGGATATGGAGCGCCAACTTAAAAAAAAAAAACTGAAAAGAACTAATCACGCATTCAACACTTATTCTATAAAAAGTTATGCTGGATTCTAAAATACTGCAATATTTTCTATGACTATAATATAATAAACAGTCTCAAGTTAATGTCAGATAGGAATTTTCTCACATACAACTTAATGGCAAATGCTTATTAGATTGGATTTTGCAAAATTCTTTTAGGTCTTTGTTTTCAGAACAGATCTCTTTTATATAGCCCTACCTACAAGGTTTGCAGCTTGTGCCCGCCACTATATTATCACAATTAAATGAGAGATGCGCATTTTGGGACAGGACTTTCCAAGCGTTGGATTCTAATTCACCTCCAACTTTGGCAACTTAATTAAAAAATAGATTCTCATACATTAAAGAAGAGCGATTTCCTCCTCTTCTACATTTTTTTCATAAACAAGATTTTATTACATATTAATTTTAATTTTTAAAATATTGTCTTTTGGAAGTGAAGATATACAAAACAGCACACATAATAGCAACTATCCATGAACTTACTACCCATGTATTTCTTTAAAGAGAGAAAGCAAGTTTTATAAAGATGAAGTCCCCTTACATGCTATTTTGTTTTTCTATATATGTATTAAACATTTTAGAGTATTATTTCAAAATTAACATAAATGATATATTTTTCTGTGACTTGCTTTTTTCACTGTATATTATATATATGAAATCTAGATTTAGCTCATTTATTTTAACTGTTAGAATATTTTTCAAATTATGGCAAAATTATGATATATACTATATATGTACCACATAATTATTTGTAATATATCTAGACATATGAATGATTTTAAAAGCTTTTTAACTTTATGTAAAGAAAATAAATTATGTATACTCCTGAATTAGTAATACATCATCTTTGCACAAACTCTTTTTCTTATATAATAAGACAGATGTCTTGTTATATAACATATGTGGGTAGGGAAGTCACTTTAAATGTTTAAAAGACATGATGTACATGCAGTAAAGTGCAAAGACCTTAAACATGAAGTTCTACTCGCATAGAATTTTTAAATTCCCATAGAAGTCACAAAAAAATAGCACTGACTTCCCTATGCACCCTACACCCAGCATACCTCAATGACACTTCACATAACCACATCATGATCCACAAAACCAGAAAACTGACACTGTATCAATACTATTACTAAACTACCGACCTTATT